ATCCCTCTTCATAGTTCGAATTGTGAGAACATGGCAAATAGAAACATTATAGCAAAAGACTGGTCAAGGATCATGTCTTTATGTGAGACATTATGTATCATATCCCATATGCTTCGGGTATAGGATCGATTGCATATGCTATAATATTTATGTGTTCTGAATTTTCCAAATGCCTAGGCATTGAGAGAAAAATGAGCAGAACTGAATATGACTAAAATGGTTAAGTAATTGTCTACCAAAGATTGGTTGCTTATGGACAATTGGAAGTATAAGTTTTGGAAGGTCCATATTGACAGGTTCTGAGAAAGAGGTAACTCTTGTTCAGAAGTGCTAGTCATATGGAATTATGGAAATGTTCCATAAGTGTAAATTAATCGTAAAATCTGTGTAATATTAGAAACCTTAATGCAAGAAGGATGTTCAAAGGAAATTTACTTTGAATATGAGACTTCGCTTCCATGGAATTGGTTCAATAACCAATGTCGAAAGGGAATACTTTGTAAAGTTACTGGCATAGTTTTGTGACTTTGTGCATTGACATTACGAAAGGATTATTGAATTCAAGTGTAGAATCAAACATATTATAGTAAAAGGAAAGAATTTGGTATTCTTACACTTACTACGGGGATTTGGAATTGTGAAATGAGCATCATTGAACTGTTTTCAATTGATCCATTTCACAAAGAAAGGACCATAGATAAACATAGTGTGCATGCTTGGAGCATGGGATAACTATTGTATTAATTCAAGTATAAAGTTGATAATTCGAAACATTGTACAATGAAAAATGAGTAATCAATATGGCGATTAAATAAAAGGTGTTTTATTTACACTCAAAAGTTTTGGGGCCATATAGGATTAAGTATTATTCTTGTGTTTCACTTTGCATGTTTTGACTTCCCGAATAATAAGATTGTTCAAATTATCCACAGTCGATCATACTTTGGAAGTAGGTATGAAGCAAGACTGTCATGAGTTGGCTTATAGATGTCTAAGGTGTTAGACATAGCAAAAGTCTGTTGCACCATTCATGAGTGCTTGTGAAATAAGATTTAAGCATTGGATCAACCCGCACTTAGCTGAATCACTTCATGGAATTTAAACGAGTGATTGTGAGATGATAATATCATATAATCTTCAAACCAAGATATATGAGTTGTTGACTACAAGTTGGTTGTGCATTGATGGCACAAAAACGCATCAGTAACTTGATTTTATAAAACGTGTCGTTGTGCATGATTTGATGAGTAGTTAGTACAAGCATATAATGTCGAAGTTTATCTGTTCCTTTTATCCCAAAAGGATTAAAAGCGATATCTGGGCCCCTCGATGATTTATTTTGACTTATGTGACAGGCCCGGTCAGAACTAAATTGATGTGTTCAATTATGTTCTATTTCAATCTAATCGGAAATCGGGAAACAAATTGCAGGACAACAAGTATCACTATGTTCCATGTATTTGTCCACTGATATCTTGAAGAACAGAGGAATATATGATCACTTATCTAAAGGACGCGTCACTAACTAGGTCAGAGTTCGACAGCGGCTTTTGAAAGCTACCATTACTATTCGGTTCTTGAAGTCCTACTTGCAGTTATAGTTATTAGACTTATCCAAGTGGGAGACTATTGGATTTGGTGTCTAAGCCCATAGCTATAACTGGTATGTACTTGACCGGATAGTAGCATGGTCCTTTTGGGTTACCTTCACCAGTGCAATTTGATAGGATGGACTTTTGAGAATAAGGCTATTTGTGATTTATTAATATATTATAAGTATAATATATTAATTGAGAAATCATATTATTTAATTAGCATTGATCAAGAATTAATTTGGAATTAATTTTATGGTCAAAAGAGACTAATTAAATATATGGGGATTGATTATGTAAATCAACCATTCTTATAGTGTGGGCTAATGATCCATTAGGATGGGCTAAATAGTCAATGGATAGTCCATGGATCTTTAACCCATGGAGCCTAAGGGATATGGAAGGTCATGGAGCTTTAGGGTTTCATGGATAAAACCCTAACCCTTGCCACACTATAAAAGGAGTCCGTTAGGCACTCAAATCGGCTCTATGTTTTCATTAGAAAGAGATAGCCGATTTTTGTGATAGCTAGTTTATTCTCTCAAGCCACCTCTTGCATATGATGTTTGTGACACATTACATGCATCACACTTGAGGTGCTAAAGCTTTCAAGGGCCAAGAACAACAAGTCCTAAAAAGAGGTAAGTCATCTAAATAGTTGAGTTGTTCAAATTGTCATATTGTATGCTAGTTGTAGGCTTAAAGCTTTGCAAACAATATTGCATGTATAATTAGAGAAAACATAGATCCAAAGCTTTTAGGGTTGTATGTGCACCATAGAATGTTGTAGTATACAAAACCCAACACTAACTTGATCCATTAATGTCCCGAAATTGCCGAATAGGAAGCTTCTCAAAACCGGATGTTACAAGTGCACGCTGCGCAATGGCACCCACCTCGCGCTCACAAAAAGGATTTTGAAAAATCCATATTTTATGGATACTAGCTCTGATCTGTACCCTCTTTATATCTATGTGATGATCTCAACTAGTATTGCAACTTTCCTTTAGGTTGTTTTGACTAGTTTTGAGTTTCTTCTTTTTGCCTAACGGGGGTAAATATAAATGCTTGTACAAAAATCATATCTCTCTCATACGGATCCCGTTTTTGGAATTCTTTTTTGTAATGTTCTTATCTCGAGCGGTACTACAATTCTCTATTTTATAACTTTACTAAAAACCTTACCAATCTTTATATATCGTTTCGACGACGTAATAATTATTTACGTGGTTGATTTTAATTTTTTAAAAAATCATAATTCCTCCAATTGGAGTCGGATTTTTACCAATTTTATATCATTGAAATCATGTCAACGAGTAGTTTCTGAATATATATTAACCGTTTTAGAAGACGGTACAACTTTTTGCATGCTTATTTTTTTGAGTCTAAACGTCAATTTATTTGTAAATATAACAACATATTTGATTATATTTACTCATAAAATCAAACATTACAATACTAAGCTTTTACATTTATCTTAACCTACCATGTTGTGGGCCATCCTTGGCCAGCTATGGTCCCTGGCAGAATGTCATTTTCTTTATTAAGAGGTTAATCCCTAAAGACCAAGGCTCATAGCATCATATCTGATACCTAATAACTTTATAATGGATAAAATTTTCAACTTTCTCCATTAGGATGGTGTAAACGACCAAGATATGAACTTTAACTCTCAAAAGGACAAAGAATGTATCTTTCTCAACTTTATCCATTAAGTCCAAGTCTCCAACATTCACATCTGAATCAACATGATGTTTAGATGGATAAAGTTTCCAACTTTATCCACAACAATGCCACAAACATTCAAGATCTAAACTTTAATACACCAAAATTGCCTAAAGGACCAAGATAACTTGCATGACATAAAGGGTAGGCAAAAGATCATAAGCTTCCTAGTCCATGAGGTCCAAGAAGGATTCCAAAATTGATCAAAAGATGTTAGATTCCACTCAACACCAAAATCACTATAAAATGGACAAAAGGTGCAAAAAAACCCCAAATGACAAGATCTAAAGAACCAAAGATCAAGATAGGAACTTCATACTGACAATAGTCTAGAAAAGAAGTGCCTTTGATGGAACGAAACTTGAGAAAACATTCCTGGCAACCAAAAGAACTTCCTTGATCTTCAAGCTTCATCAAATCACCACCAAATGCTCCCAAAAGAAGTCAGATATTTTTGAGCATAGGTTTTGGCATTAAAGAAAAATGGGCTCAAGTAGTCTTTTATGTAATGTATTAATAAGCTAATCCCATGATGCGGGTTGTTTCATGCCATAAATAAACTCGAACAATCAAGAAATCTGTTGGGCAGGCGGATATACATCTCTTACAACTGACACAATCTTCTATTCTTGGAGCGGAGGCTATTTGTTTGGGTTTACATCCGTCGCAAGGTATCATTTCTAATACATCCAAGGAGAGATGAGGAGCTTAATTTGTGAAGGGAGGCTAGGGTTTGGTAAGAAGAGGGTTTCTTGGTGTAATGGAGGATGAGAAATGACCTAAAACAAGGAGTTGAAGTCCTTAAATGCGAGCCAAGCCCTAATTTAATGGCCTTGGGCTGCACAGAGCTCCACGCCGTGGAGAACTCCTCACTATGCCGTGGAGAGCTCGTTTTTCCCAAAATTCACTTTAGCTTCAAACAATTATAACTTATTTGTTTCAACTCCGTTTTCAGTGATCTTTATATGCACATGAAGGTATTGAAAAGCCCCATAATTTTATCCAATTACATTTGACTTATTGAATACCAAACTTAACCGCAGAGTCCAAATATCACTTTCTTATTCTATCTTTTAGCTCTAAAACATGATTCAAGAGCTTAAATCACTTAACTCATAATATTAACGCCCAATAAGGTCAAAACTTTATTCATATAAAGCTCAAAACCTTTGTGTGAGCATGCTATGGCCTGCTATCCCGAAATTAGAAACATTTCAAAACTAAGTCTTACTGCTTGGCTTTGTGCCAATTGTACAACTACCCTTCTTAACTTTGCCCGAAACTCTACTTCCCGGTTGCACTTGTGACCTTGTGTGTAGTTTGCAGCTTCGCTCCTGAAGCAAATTAGCAAATTTCGTCAAGTAGCATCATTATGTTGTCTAGCATTTGCACTAGCTTTGTCTCTCTATCAGTAACAATGTCAAATGAGAAAATTAGACACCACAACTCAACTCGTTCAGTAAGAGTAACAGTTGAAATAGTCAGGAAAAAACAATTTTGACTTTAAGTGCAATTATGCAAACACACATACCATTTTTGTAATTTAGTCTAAAAGGTATTGATATTAATATATTTGTTATATAGTTTGTCAATAGAATATATTTACAATAAAGGGTCTGCACGGTCATCCCTTGAGTTGTATATAAAATAGGCGTCAAGGGTAGACGCCAACATGCCTTGTATTAAGCAAAGAGAGTTTAAGCCTCCACAAACGCACTTCGAATTCTCTTCCTTATTTTAATCGACATGATTATCATGTGAACAACACCTCTCAATATAATTCTTTTCTGTTGGGAGAACACTAATTAATCAAGTGTTGCTATTATTTTGGTCTCCGATAGTATAACCCCTTCCCCGTCACACACAGCACACTGAAACTCACAAGAATGGAAACAAAATGGCATGAACAGAAAGAAGATAACATCTTTGATGAGGAAACCGTTGATTGGAGAGGCAGACCCTCCGATCCCACAAAACATGGAGGAATGAGAGCTGCTGCCTTTGTTCTTGGTCTATTTTCTCTTCCCCTATATGATAATTGTATAAGATTTTTTAAATTTACAACACCTTATCGAAGAATATATGCTGAGCCTGCAAGCTTCCATGATCTGTTTGGACTGGATATACAATTTACGTATAAAACATAATTTATGCCATTAAGATAAATATCTTGGCTTGTATGACTTTTGCAGGGGTACAATCATTTGAGATAATGGCTATAGCAGCAGTTGGGAACAACCTTATTACATATCTGATAAATGAGATGCACTTTTCGCTATCAAAATCAGCAAACATCGTGACAAATTTCGTTGGTACTGTGTTCATCCTTGCCCTCTGTGGTGGCTACCTCTCTGATTCTTATCTCGGTTGTTTCTGGACTATGCTGGTTTTCGGTTTTATTGAACTCTCCGTAAGTCAAATGATCAAATCATTGATCCTTTCTCCTTCAGCTATGGCGGATGCTAACTTGATTTCTTGTTTCTATAGGGTTTTATAGTGTTGTCAGTCCAAGCTCATCTCCCTCAACTGAAGCCACCAAAGTGCAACATGCTAACAGATGGAGACGAATGCATAGAATCTAAAGGAATGAAAACCTTAATATTCTTTGTAGCTCTCTACTTGGTAGCATTAGGGAGCGGCTCTCTGAAACCAAACATGCTTGCGCATGGTGCTGATCAATTCAACAAAAATAACGTAAAACAGCGCAAGATGCTCTCTAGCTACTTCAACGCTGCCTACTTTGCTTTCTCTGTTGGTGAACTCGTTGCCCTCACTTTTCTTGTTTGGATTCAGACACATTCGGGTATGGATATTGGTTTTGGGGTGTCTGCCATTGTCATGGCAATGGGTTTAATCTGCTTGGTTTCTGGTACCATATTTTACAGAAACAAGCGTCCTCAAGGAAGCATTTTGGTGCCTGTTCTACAAGTAAGATCCCACTTGCCTTTAACACGTGCATGGCCGCACAATAGTCTTTTTAAATGACAATTGATATATCCATCTTTTGCGTTACAAAATGTCATCTACTCCTCTGTGAGGTCCCTAAATCTGTATACTTCTATATCCAGTTTTGAAATTAAAAATTGGAAATCCTAAAAATTCTTTGAATATTTATTTTTTTTGGATGTACCAAACGTGGTGATGCATGCAACCTTGTTTGTTTTTTCTGCTTTAAAATTTTAGCAAACATGTTTTTTGCTGATCTGCTACTAAAATTAAAGTTCCTCATATGATACTATGTTATTTGCTTGACTTTAATTATCTAATCGGTTTATTAAGTATCTAGTGCTTTTGGTTATCAGGTATTCGTTGCTGCAATTCTGAAGAGGAAACAAGAGTTCCCAGCTAATCCCCCCATGCTTCATCGAAACCAATTCGAACTTGAAAATAGTGATTCTACCCTTTCTAATGATCCTACCAGTCTTCAATATACTAACAGACTCAGGTATAATCCCTGACATGAAGCGAGTTTTGAATATATATTATATTGATCTACATGCATCTATAAGTTACTTTTCTAGAAAACGTTTAAATACTCCGCCTAGTAATTTATAAATTGCTTATGACGGAATTGTCTTTGTTAATACCAACTTATCAAGGATAAAAAGGGATATATTTAGAATACATGATGATACGTTGTACATCACAAATTAATGAACAATGGCTGCATCTACAATCCCTCCTAATTACCTTAATTTCTTTATAGCTTCTTGTATACATATCGTAATAGTTGTCTCAATCTTTATTTGTGTAAACCAACTTACAGGTTCTTAGACAAAGCATGCTTAAAGGAACAAGAACCAAACAGCAATAATGCATGGAGGCTGTGTAAAGTAGAGCAGGTTGAGCAAGTGAAGATCCTAATCTCCATCATCCCAATATTTGCGAGTACAATTGTCTTTAACACAATCTTAGCACAACTGCAAACTTTTTCAGTGTCACAAGGAAGTGTGATGAACACCCAAATCACAAAATCATTCCATATCCCACCAGCTTCACTCCAAGCCATTCCTTACATCTTTCTAATCTTTCTAGTTCCTCTTTACGATTACTTTTTAGTGCCTTTTGCACGAAAAATCACTGGCCATGTATCCGGAATTACCCCTTTACAGCGCATCGGTTTTGGCTTATTTGTTGCAACTTTTTCCATGGTATCCGCTGCTTTAATGGAGAAAAAAAGAAGGGAATATTTTTCAAGATCTGGTCAAATGTTATCTATTTTCTGGATAACCCCGCAATTCTTAATCTTTGGATTATCAGAAATGTTTACGGCTGTGGGGTTGATCGAGTTCTTTTATAAGCAGAATTTGAAAGGGATGCAATCTTTCTTGACAGCAATAACATACTGTTCATACTCATTTGGGTTTTATCTAAGCTCAGTGCTTGTTTCTTTGGTAAATAAGATCACTTTAAGGTCGTCCGATGGTGGATGGCTTGGAGGTGTTGATCTAAATAAGGCCAGATTAGATCTTTTCTACTGGCTGCTTGCAGGCCTAAGTTTGATCAACTTCCTCAACTATCTCTTCTGGGCAAGATGGTATAATATTTCATGTAATCAGACGTTATCAGGAAGAACACACCTCGATTCTACCAAAGAAGATTTTCATAGTATCTGCATTAATCGTGCTCAGGCTGTTGGAGTTGAAAATATAACTTAAGTTTTTACTTCGCGAATATGTATATATATGTACTCTATCAAGTAGTTAATTGCTGATATGCAATATAGAAATAATAACATATAGATGAAGATGCAAGTTCATAATGCCATCTTTTATGCTTTTGTGGACGGCAAATATTATTAATATGATCTCTCCACTCTACACGGATTGGTTATTGTATTATTTATTAAAAATTTGTGTACTAGAAGTGTAACAAGAGCATCAATAATTTATTGAACTCTATAGAGTGTGTTAATGTATTTCAACTATGATTATCATATCATCCGATAAGTACCTATTCAATCCTATTTAATCCTAGTTACTATTTTATTCTCTCTATTGAACCCCTACTGAAGGGTTCAACTTCTCCATTCAATTTCATTACATGTCTATCACTCACACTCCCATTAAACACTATCATTCATTTATAGAAGTTGGATTATGGATGCCCTAAGGATTTTAGGCACATACTGATGAAGTTCAGTGAACTGTAGCTCCGGTTATCCTCAGTGTCATCTCCTTTAATTGTGGTCAGAAGACTGGTTGATTTACTGCCTTTGCTTTTTTTTTTTGCTTGAATAGGAAATCTGGGTCCCTCGGCTACATTGTGATAATTGCTTCAACCAATTTTAACTCGACGCCAATGAGATGCATGTGCATAAAAATTAAATTAGTGGAACCTACTTTACTGTAAAGTCAAAAAGGACTCATTCAAGACACATACAGACAGAGGAGGTAATTTTCAATTGAAAATCTTGAGGGGGAGGCGATGCACTCAATATAATGTTTATATTGTCAGTGATTTTCTTACGTAGAAAAGAAACATGTCTCAAACATGTTCTGGATTTTGGGACTTTGGCACAGTCTAAGGAACAAACTTTACACTAATAGACTCCATCATGTCACACTGTTAGATAAAAGAGTAACAATTCACGGACCCTCCACCAACAACCATGGTTTTTACTTGCCACATCGTAATTTCATTTTCTTGCTTCGGTTAATATGTCAATGTCGTAAACTATAAGATAAAAAAATTACTTTAAATAAAAATATGATAATAAACATGATGATTATCTTGAACCGAATAATAACAAAGGGAAATTGAGCAATCAATTTTAAAAACAATAACCACAATTTATTTTATTTTATTTTTTATGAAATATGACCACAATTTCCGGAATATGTCATTACAAGAAATAACGACGTTACCGACGATTCTATTAGCGGCGACATGGACCTTCATTGACGCCGCTAAAGGTCAATGTCGTCGCTAATAACGTCGCCGGTAATCTTTTAAGGACCGAATCCGCACTAACCCGTTATGGTAAATCTCAACTGTCCAATCGATGATTTAATCCAACGGCAGGGGGTCCTTTTCACACAAACTTAATATCGGCGACAAAATGTCACCGTTAAAGGTCAAAATAGTTGCCGCTAAAGGTCGAAAAAAAAAGACGCGGTATACTTCCCTCCACAATTGTCGCCGTTGTTTATGTTTGTCGCCACTAAAGGGCAAAACATCGCCGGTAAAGGTGTCACCGATATTGCGTTACACAGATATCCAAAAAATTGACGCCTCTCTTTCCACTTTCTGCTTCTGCTGCTTCCATATATGCTCTTGTTTTTCTCTTCCCCATTTCTGCGATGACTCTCACCATCGACCGCTTTAGCCAACGAGGAGTACCATGCCACCGATAACTCCCCACCGTGAGATTCCGACAGGGAAAAGGATATATGGACAACTTTAATATTTCTCTGGCGACTGTAGGGCATTTTTGACAATGGTACGCCATCTCTTGCTCATTTGTCTTTCTCTTTCTCTTTCTCTTTTAACATCGATTTTTAGCTTATACTAGTGATAAATTACAAGAAATTGTCAATTTCGATTTTTTTGATTTCCAGCTTTACTGGCGACTATTGCTGTCACCGCCGACGACTACCACCATCACTGCATCATTTGTTGATTTCCTCCACCATAGGTTCTATTTACTGCAAGTTTCAATATTAATTCCAAAATATACGTACTTGTATATATTTTGTGCAATTTGGCATGTGTATGTATATTTGATATATGTATGTAAATTTATGTGTGTTTGGTGTATATATGTGAAAGTATGTATATTTGGTGTATGTATGTAAAATTATGTGTATAGTTGGTATAAGTAGGATGCTATTATGTATGTATGTGAATGTATGTTTATTTGGTGTATGTGTGGTATATTAATGTGAAAGTATGTATACTTGGTAAAGTAGGATGCTATTATGTATATATGTGAAATTATGTATATTTGATATAAGTAGGATGCTACTATGTACGTATATGAATGTATGTGTATTTCGTGTACATGTGGTATATGTATGTGAAAGTATGTGCATTTGGCATAAGTAGGATGATATTATGTTTATATATGAAAGTATGTGTATTTGGTTTAAGTAGGATGCTATTATATATGTATGTGAATGTATATGTATTTGGTGTATATGTCATATATGTATGTAAAGGTATATGTATTTGGTATAAGTAGGATGTTATAATGTATATATGTCAAAGTGTTTGTGATTGGTATGAGTAGGTTACTATTATATATGCATATGTATAAGTAGGATGCAATTATATACGTATGTGAATTTGGTATAACTAGGATGCCATTATTGAAAAAAACAAATAAAGTAAGATGCTACTATTGAGAATGCTATTTTGTATAAGAAAAAAAATACGGATTATAAAAATAAATATATAATTAATTAAACAAACAAAACAAATAAAGTTGGATGCTATTATTAGCAATGAAAACATAAAGTAAACCACTACAATAGAAAACAACAACATAATATAATTGTTTTAAGGGAAATCTACTAAAAATTATTTATATTTACGCCTCATAATCAATATAGTCATTATTTTTTTTGTTTAGTCAACTAAGTCCCAAAAAGCGGATAATAAACTCATTTTGACCATTCTCGAGGTTAACATGACATCCAACTTTCAAAAATTGTACATTTGGCCCAGATTTTAAACTTTATAACAAATTTGGTCCAAAAAATTTTACAATTTTGGCCAAAATTTCAAAAATTATACTTTTGGCCCTGATTTTTTTGCTTTAGAAAATCATATTTATGCAAAAACCATATTTTCACATAAAAAACCTTCCTTTTTCTATATAGAAATTTTTAAAATTTTTTTTTATGCGAAATACCTATTTATAAAATTAGGTATTTATTAAGTGCATAAATTTATATAAATTCGTTTTTTATAAAAAGAAATGTATATAAAAGATTGTTTAATAATATGTGTGTGTGTGTGCCTATATATATATATATATATATATATATATATATATATATATATATATATATATATATATATATTTGTAAAAACGTGTTTGTATAGAAACACACTTATTATAAAACCAGTTTTGGTAAAAAAAAATAATTAAGGAAATATAAACCAAATTGTATGAGTGATTGTGGTGTTGCAATCAGTATAAATGTCAAAATGAAATTAAAGTTACACGAGTGATCTTACAAGGAAAACCCTTGATCGTTACTAGGGTCTCTGATATAAAACCTAGGGAGGTGATAATGAGAACTTGTCTCTTTTAAACTTGTTAATCGAAATATAAATTACAGAAATGTGTTTTAAAATACGAGTACAAGTGATTCCCTTACTCTATGTGTGTGTTGTGTGATTTACAAATTTGTATTTGTAGCCTTACTCGGGATCCTGTTGAACAAGCTCTTGTACATTGCCTTTGTTGGATTAGGTCTCTAAGCCAATAAGTAAAAATGTATATACTTTAATTAAAAGCAAAGTCATTTTTGGGTTGCCCTCAAAACTAGTAATTGATGGAATGACTTTTGGAGAGAGAGGTTGATTTGTTGATTTATTATATGATTAATAAATAGTTTGTTAATATATTATGAGATTAATATATTAATTAGAAATAGTATTATTTAATTAATAATTAATTAGAAATTAATGGGAATTAATTTTGGGATTAATTGGATTAATTAAACATGCAAGGACTAAAGTTGTAATTGTTCAATAGTCGAACAAGAGAGGAATTTTAGAAGGATCCTAGGATTGAGTTATATTTGGAGCCTCCTTAGGGTTTCTAGATTATTCCATGTGGATAATATGGATAATCAGGAAACGAGATCAATCTGAATTTGAAATAATGTTATTTTATTTCAAATTTGGGTTTATAGGGTTTTCCTATCTGCTATAAATAGGGTCCTTAGACTCATGTTTTCGTCCATACATCATATGAGTTAGAAGAGCAGAAATTCTTCCATTGCTAGGGTTTGGGTACAATCATTAGAGACATCAAGCTTTTGGTGTTAGTTTCTAAGGCTTTAGAAGAAAGGAATTACTTTGGTTATTTGCTATAATAATCAAGAGGTGTGTAAAACCGAATCCCTTGCTATATTCGATAAGAGTATGGTATTCTTAGGGCAATTGATATTCAATAGTTTATTGTTTTTAATAGAGAAAACTTAGATCAAAAGAGGTTGCATGTGAACTTAAGGGTTAAGATTTTCTGCCACATGTTTTAATTATAACCTATAAAACCCATCAGTGGTATTAGAGCCATAGTTTTTACTTGATTATGCATAAATTTCAATAGATCAAAATTAGGATTTATAGAAATTAAACCCTAAAGGCTTGAAAATTTCGATTTTTGGTTAGGGTTTCCGAAACCCTAGCCTCCTCCCTTAGATTTTTAAAATTTGATAGGGTGGTTAGGGTAACTAGTATCCTTAATTATTATTTTCAAAGCCTTAAAATGGAATAGTTAAATTTGGATAAACCAATCCCTAATTTTCGAAAATAAATAGGATGTTGGATAATGATTCAATTTAAATTATTTAATTATTTGTTTAATAGTAGATAATTATTTAATCCATAAATAATTTAATTTAATTTAATTAATAGTAAATTAAAAGATAAAGGTTAAATCATATATGATTTAAATTAATTGAATTAATTTTTAATTAAAAGATAAACATTAAATCATAATTTATTTTAAGTTTAATTGAATTAAAATGTTTTATTTAGATAATTAAAATTTTAAACCTTGTATTTTGAAATGTTTTAAGATACACCTTA